TTAACAATCTTTTTTTACTGTAACTTTTACTATAGAATTAAACGTTGGTCTGACTAGAATTATTGGTGTGTAAACACAGTGTATCACCTGACAAACTGAATAAATGACAAAGTCAATTGCGTTTACACACCAATAATGTTAGTGAGACCAACGTTTAATTCTTATATTTATATTCAGATACTTTTATTTATACAATTTTCACTGTTTTATATGATCAGTTATTTGAATTTACCACAAATCTTAGATTACGTCATTGTTGTGCTTTAACAACATCATAGTATCACGTGACATGCTACAGTTTTATTAAAAAATAACTGGTTCATTGAAGTGAGTGATAGTAGAAATGTAAATATTAAAAAATAATGTAGTCTGCCTGTATTTTATTCTGAACCAACACTAGATAACTATTATTAAATATATTAAACACTAAACACACACTCTAAACTACAACAATTCATTTCATTTGACTTTATTTACCTTTCAATTATACTCTTACATCCAGACTTACTAATTGATTACATTTCATTATGTCTACTTTCATTTTATTATAGTCTCAATTGTCCAGACGTAACAATCAATTACAAGAGATTATCAAGTCATTTATTTAATTAGAGTAGTAAGATGTCTGGATATTGATTCTATAGTCTTGAACTATTTACATGGTCTTTTATTAAAAGTGATAGAAATACTTAGTTTGGTGCCAATCGTAGAAAGTCAATATTCAGTCTCGACTCGGTCTTTTCTGGAATTAACTTCTTCAAGTTTTCAATAGGCTCGCTTCACTTCTGACTTTCTTGTACTGTCATTGGTTATTTTAGAACTGGGTTGTTCTGCCATTTTGGAGGAAGTAGAAAGTGTGTCCAGTCTTTTTGCGTAGGTGTGTCCCCGATGGACTTATTTCGGAGCCAATCGTAAAAAGTTAATATTCGGAACGCGTCGTTTCTGGAATTAGCTACGAGTACTTAAAGTTTTCAATCAAGTTTCTGAGATATGAACACTATTTAAACTGTTATAGTATCTGTATGATCTCTGTAGTTTTAATTCAGACAGTGTATACAATTACTTCTTACTTGCAAAACACTTTGTTACAAGATTTGTTAACATCCCTTTTATAGAGTTCACATAGCTAATAATGTTTATTTGGTATTTAGGTTTATCAACTCCACATCTTTCAGAGAGTTCACATAGTTAATAATGTTTATTTGGTATTTAGGTTTATCAACTCCACATCTCTTTCAGAGAGTCCACATAGTTAATAATATTAATCTGATATTAAGATATAAAAAGAAGTGAATTCTGTGAATAAAAGTCAGAAAGAAAGAAGGCAAATAATATAAAATAGGATATTTAATGAAAATATTACCCTGTGGCTATTTTAGTTTAATTTCTAATTACATGAACAAATATCAAAAATATAACTGAACTGGGAAATATTCCTATAAAAAACTGATTGATATTTTTTATGTGGTCACAGGAAATGTTATTACTGAATATTTTATTATGAATGTTATCATTCTAGATGTACTTTTATACTTAAATCAGATAATCTCTTTCAATTCTTATCATTCTAGATGTAATCAGATAATCTCTTTCAATTCTTATCATTCTAGATTACTCAGATAATCTCTTTCAATTCTTATCATTCTAGATTACTCAGATAATCTTTCAATTCTTATCATTCTAGATTACTCAGATAATCTCTTTCAATTCTTATCATTCTAGATGTAATCAGATAATCTCTTTCAATTCTTATCATTCTAGATTACTCAGATAATCTCTTTCAATTCTTATCATTCTAGATGTAATCAGATAATCTCTTTCAATTCTTATCATTCTAGATTACTCAGATAATCTCTTTCAATTCTTATCATTCTAGATTACTCAGATAATCTCTTTCAATTCTTATCATTCTAGATGTAATCAGATAATCTCTTTCAATTCTTATCATTCTAGATGTAATCAGATAATCTCTTTCAATTCTTATC